GTATGTGATGTAGTGGTTGTGAGTCCAGTAAAGAAAATCCAGCACCCACCCATAACCACCCACCTCCTCAGGAGTGGGAGGAAATTATACAAAACCCGAAAAACTGCCAAAAGTTCCAGGATGTTGATATGGAGAGTAGCCTCCTTGACAGACCATTGACTGGAAATTTCTTGGGAATAAAAAAACCCTCAATCGACCAAAAAAGTACAGGTAAACAGATGAGACTCTGGACAAGGTGGTATAATAGGGAACACCACCATGGTCAATTCCCTGTTGAGCCACCAAGCAAGATCTGCTCCGATCCTCAGGGGTAGAGAAACAGGATGGTCCAAGGGATTGTGGGAGAAGTTTTATTGGTTGAGAAGCATCCACTGAAGGGAATGCATATGAGGTTAACCCAAGGGAATGATAGCTTCCAAGGAAGCCTAAATCCCCCAAAAGAGAGAGAGAGAACCCCTCTCACAGTTAGAAAAGAAGAAGGTAGGGCCATTGAAGCTGCTTGCACTAAAGTAGAGAAGGCTGGGCCTGATGAAGATGAAAATGGAAGAAAAACCCCCAATGGAATAAGGGATTGAGTAGGGTTAAGAATGGACCACTCCAACTGGATCAGAAAACCCTAACTGAGTAGTTTCCCAAAGAAGTAAGCAGGCATGATTGACTGACTGGGCATGGTAAGAGGCAAGCAGGAGCCAATTGGCCATGAAAAAGAGAGTCTGAAGACCCAAAATGTTAAAATGACTCACAAAAGAGCGTACCACTCAACAAAACACATGAGAGTCGAAGAAGGATTGAACAGCAGCTCCTGGAACTGGAAGACATGACCCATCCTTCAAGATGATTTGGTCTACCAGTCCCAGGGAAAAAACAAAACAAAGTGAGAGGTAGGACTCAATAGTGAAGTGAGGTGGTTCCAGATAAGAGTTCAACTGGGACAGGTCTATGGCAGGTCTTCAATCTACCATCTGTCGAGGGACAACAATTAGACAGGAGTAAAACCCAGGTTGAGTGGGCACCACCCAATTGAAAGCCCCTTTGTGAAGGAGGTCGTGAACAGATTAGGCAAGACAACTGGAAGAAGATCACAAGGAGGAGAGAAGGAAATCTGTGAAGTGGATAGGGAAGGAGCAGAACTGAAGGCAAAAACCTTCAGATAGAACCTGTAGAACCCACAGAACTGTTGTGAAGTGTAGCCAAAGAGACACATAAACTAAACATACTTTGACTAACAAACTAACAAAACCTACAAATTTGTAGTCTACAAAGTACATAAAAATAATGAACCTGCAAAACTATGAAATCTGAGCTAAAACATAAACCAATAAGAAACACCTAAAGTACAAAACCACTAAAGGAACTTAGACAATAAAAGACACTTAAGTATAGAATTTATTTATAAGTCCACTCAAAGAACCGATAAGACAAAGGACCAAAAGTAAAACCTATCCTGAAGAACATGAGAATAAAAAGGCACCCAGGTAACAATAATAAATTCTGACTCAAATTTAATTCCCAAATAGATGTGACTAGTAGTAAAGAAAAAAAAGAACTTACAAACTTGATCAAAGTTACATTTACCCAAGCAGTAACTATTGTGAGAAACCCGTGCATATACCAAAAATTAAACAAAAACAAAGTAATAATCAAATTCTAAATGCAAACTTAAACTAAAGTAACGTAGATGGTAAAAGAATTATAAAACTCAAACTTACCAAATACTGAGCAGAGAAGACATGAAAGACCTAAATTATCGTGTGCAGAAATTAGAAAAAGCCTCACAAACTCACTAAACATAGGTATACCTACTGGGAGTGAAGAATACACACTGAAAAACTTACCATAGATCTCCTGGGAAAAAGAACAATACCTAACCAAGCAGGTTACAAGGAGGTGCGGTACAGGTGAAAAGTGTCATATAAAGAAATTTTCACTCAGTAGTTATATCCTTCCTCACAAAAAATCCTAACGTGAAAGGAAGAACTCATCAGCTGAACTAAGATACAAACTCCCTATGAACTAAATCCTGTGCTTCCCTAGCAGACATTGCCAACCCTGACACTTGTGTCAGAACCATTGTCTACCATCACGGGAATTACAACATCTGCCATATTAAATCAAATTCATACGAAGACATTAGAATTCAGAAAACAGAAATACTAAAACAAATGAGTAGAAACAACGGAAATCAAACACAAGAAGTTGAAACTGATATAAATTTGTGATCAAGCACACCCAAAATTTTGTAGTCATATGGAGAGCAAGTTAAAACACAAGTCCATATATTAGAATGCCAATCGAGAAAGTGAGAATTACTCTAGAATAGTAGAAGGAGCTAGCTATGCTGGTATGGATGGCACAATATGATTGGTGGAGGGTAGTCGCATGATCAGCACATTCCTTAATGGTGTGAAACTGAGAGTATAAAAGACTGGCAAGTTGTTAGTGAAACATTTTAGCAATGCTTAGAGGGCAGTCCAGGTATGAAATAGCTTTGGGTGAGAAGAAGTAAGACTGTTTTTGAACTTGTCTTAGCTACTGCTTTTAAAATAATGAACTTTTAACACTCTTGTTATGAAAACTAAATAATAATTAAAAATTGACTCACTTAATAAACTAAACAATAACTCTTAAACTGAACAGTCTTGTATATCCAACATATAATTTCTAAATATAAGTGATGTTTGTGCACTTTCCTGTAAAAATTACCAAATGCTTTTTCTGTTGTAAATGGTGAGAGTTAAATTAACATGATCACATTCAACAAAAGATAAGTGTTTAGAATTATGTTTTTATAAGCATCCACAACATGCTAAAGAAATGGTGCAATAAACTTTTATTAAATAAAATGAGACAAAGTTCACCACTTGGCGGGACAAAACCAAGTACAGTCACCTTAACTTGATATTTAAATGAAATGCCAATTTTCAATGACACTCATTTGAGGAAAAACACATTTCAAACTGACAAAACAGGCTGCAGCAACGTTTGCTACAGCACCAAGGTAGTAGCATGTACTTTCTTAAATATGTCCTAAGATTAATCATACCACATTGGTATCCAAATATAAGTTCCTTTGAACTTAGTAGCAAATATGTTTACTTAAATATATGTACAATAAATAAATATCTTGGCCACTCAGTTCAAATTAAGTTATTTTTGGAAAGAGATATGGTTTGATTAACCGTCTTTATATCTTTATATATATATTTTTAATTCTAAGAGAATAAAGAAACGAAAGGCATTTTTTTATATTCAGAATAAAAATGAAAGAAAAACAATAACAAAATTTTTAGGTTGAAGTAATGCTAGTGGCAACTATATATAGTTTAGAATTTAATGTCTTCTGTACTAACATATTTGCTATATTATAATATACTGTACCTTATTACAATTCATATAAGCAGTAAACGAAAAAATAAAATATTTATATAAAACATAATTCATAAAATTGCACTGATCATGCTTCTGGCAACATTTGTTTATTATTTTGTTAACAATGCGAGTTTTTCATTTAATGACCTGTTTTTAAGTTCAAAACTTTCATGTTTCTTAACATGTTTTTAACAAATACAACAATACCTTAAAACAACATAATAGACAAAAATTGTTATAAGTTAGAAGGTTTTTCATGTTACATAGTTAGGCTGCTGGTGACATATTTTTATGCTAAACAAGTAACATTACAACTTATAATCTCAAATTATTAATTCATAAATTTAGTAAATACATGAAAGACCATATACTACTGCTTTCTGAGATGATTTACCATTCACAGTGTATTTAGTGTTGTGTGATAGGTGTGTACAAACAGGCATGATGTGAGGTACCATACTTGTTCTAATGTTGGAAATGGACAATGAATATGATTTTTAGTGAAATAATTTCCCTATTATATTATTTTGAATTTGTATCAACTTGGTTTCATTTAAACCTATGTTTGACAAAAAAGCAACTAAACAATCTTGATTTTTTATCTTGTACTTCTTTATACATTTCAATGTTACTCTATAAAATTACCTCACTGTAGCTCTAAGTAAAAAGGCTGAAAGCTTTAAAATATTTAAGCCAACCATAAAGAAAAACAATTAACCTTGAAGTGTGTTGACTGTATAGTGGCTATGAAACAGTAGCTTGGTTTACTCTGACTACAACATAAATTGGTTTTATTTAGTAAAATTTAACTACCTTTCCAGATTTTTCTATTTTCAAAGGAAGCAATAAATATTATTAATTTAAAAGTAAAGAAATTGCAGAGTTTTGCCATAAATACTTAGCATAAATATATATATATATTATTCCAAAAAGTATACTACTACTATATATATGTTTTAACAAAAATTATAGAATATTAAAAAATGGTATGATACATATCATCAGCAGTAAAGATCAGAATCATTCAAATGTGTAGTATCCCCTACCTTGTATTAAGTGTTTATTATTTTAAACTAGAGTAATGTAAAGAAAACACTGGTACCTTCTTTTCAAATAATTAGTCATAATTTAAACATTTAAAAAATTTACACTTATTTACATTATACATTTAATGAAATTATATATAATTGCAAATTTTTCTTCTCTTCACTAAAATGTGTAATTTTTGGTGAAAAAAAAGAAGAATCTGTGAATGATGTAGAGGCCTAATCTATTCTTTCATTAGGTTATTAATGATGAGTAAAGATATTTACATCAAACACTGAAGATAGAATATATACTTTCATATGTCTATGCAAATATTTTCACTTCCAAACTTAATAACAAGATTTTAAATACATACACATACTCATTTTACGTGAGTATAACTTGTAGTGACATTTCTTGTATGTAATACTTAGCATAAATATACATCTTTTATTCCAAAAAGTATACTACTATATATATATATATGTCTTAACAACAAAACCTATATATACTAACTAGTTTACTAACTAAAAATCCACTCACAAAAGTATTTGAATTTGACAACAGAGCTTTACAGGGAGTCACACCTTTCTAACATAACTTACTTCTAGTTTCTTAATGGATTGTTCCCTTTCTCTAAGTAGTTCAAGGTCTACTTCATCTTCTATTTGCAGAGCTGTTTGGGAGTGTGTGGGGCTATCATAAAACCAACATTTCTGTTTTTTTTAATTATAAAGATAACTGTTTTTTCAATATCTTAATTTCTGGAGCCAAAACAAACCACCATTAAATTTCTACAACTGTCAAAAAATAGGGAGTTAGGCTTTTTCATATTTCATTGTCTGCAGTTTATACTTCATGTCACAAAGTTCCTAATTAAAAATTTAAATATGGATTTTTGCCTTCAACTCATATTTTTTTTTTGGAATAGTAAGAATGTTCCTTGATTCTCATGCTATAACATACACAAACTTTTTTTAAGATTTATTTATTTTTTAAGTTTTACTCTTCAATCAAGTTGTGTAGATACCATTCACAATCTCCATCCAGTTATTCTGGCTTTGATTGTTTACTTAAAGTTCCTATACTCCTCTAATCATACCTAGACTATTCTTGTACAGATACTTTTTGAGTAAATGGACAAAAAAAAGAAAAAAAAAAGAGAGATACCTCTATTGTTCATGTCATACATTCCAAACTTACTTTTCACAAACAGTATTATTATTATTAGACACATCTTGAAAATTGTTTATATGGTGAAATATCTCTTTATATATTTAAAAAACTAAAAGGCATTACAAATTTAAATAGTTATAGTAATTTGTCAGTTTTATGTATTTACTATTCTTAGGTCATTTCATTTTAAATATGTCCCATCAACCCATCACAGTTAAAATACATTAATCAACTCTTCTAAATTTTCAAAAAATAAAAATTAATTTGTTTTACCTGCTTATTCATAACCTTCAGTGAAATATCAACTATAATGTTAGTTTACTTTGCTAACTTTGTAAAATCAAATTTATTTTCATTGAATTTCTACGAAAACATACAGATCAGTTTGAAAATTCTATCCACTTGGTGTAGATCTAGAATTAACAACCACATCTGACACAGAATTCTGTGATTTTATGTTACATTAATAGTATATTTTTAAAGAATTAAGAGCTCTCTCCTGTTAGTAAGTTATGCTATTAAAAATTACAAACTTCAGTTTTAAATTGAGGTTTATGATTTTCAGTTTTTTATGAGATTCACTAGTTCTAAGTGAGATGATGCAATGTGTATTACATTTTCACGTGCCTTGAAAACTCTGAAATAACAACAATAGGGTTTCATTAAAATCAAACAAATCTTACCTGGCAAGATCAATCAAAGCTGTTCCTATGTCTGGTGATTCATCAGCATTTGGGTCCTAATTTTATAAAAAACAAAATATCATAGAAACCTAAAACTTCACTAATTTGGCTATAGTTACGTGTGAGCATTAATAATTGTTATTAAGAATAAATAATCCTTTCTCCTTTCCATATTTGTCATGATATATATTTCAGTACATATATAATCATTTAAAGCATATACTTTTGCTTCTGGTCAGTCATCTATAGTCATAAACAAATAAAGCTTGTGGTAATAGCACCCAAAAAGCATTGCGGATATCTCATCTATCAAGCAAAATCCAAAAATGCCAAAGTTAAACAAGTTGACCATCATGGAAAATCAAAACAAGGGTGAAGAGGTGAGTGCTTGAACCCACAACATCTCACCTTCTACTGCCTTTCACCTTTGTTTATGACTATGGATGACTGACCAGAAATGAAAGTATATGCTTTAAATGATTATAAAGTCTTTATTGTTTAATGGTGCTGATCTAAATCACCTATTAGCAGTAATTACAACTGATAGTCATTGAGCTATTTCTCTATTTATTTAGTTATATATATATATATATAGTTTGCAAACATGAACTTTAATTCCTTTAAAATCTTCTTATTGGGCTGTACTTACTAACATAAATGTTATTTTCACTTTAGAAAAAGAAAGATGTTGGCATAATCTAAAAATTTTAAAGATACAATTTTTGTTTAAAATATACAAAGTATTGTATTTTTCTAAACCAACTTCTATCTTACTCTTGAAATATTTAGTTCTTACAGTTTTTTCATGTTTTGCACCTACCCCTTGAAGTCCTGAATATAATCTTGCACGCATCACACTTGCTTTCTCTTTTTGGGCTGCAAGCCTTTGAACAGCTTGAAAGTTCTTTAATGCCTCTGTGAAGTTATTAGTAAGCTTTTCCTTCAAAAATGTATTCTGTCGCTGATGTGTGAAAAAACAAATAAAAACATCCAAGATCATTTTCTGAACTTTACTTGTCTATTCCTGCTCTAAAAGTTTTGGGTTTAAACATGATTTTTCTAATTAGCAAAATTCCTATATTTTAAATTCCTGTAAACCTGATGTTAAATTTCTTTTTCATATTTCACTCTCTTGCTGTGGGCTCAGCCAAATTTTCTATACTATAACTTCTAATATGTTTTGTGTACCTTCATGAAATTTTGCTTTCAGTAATCATTAAGTCATTTGTAAACAAAAAATCAAAATTTTAATGAAGCAATTTTGCTAAACATTTCTCCATGAATATATATGGAGTCAAAGTGTTGAATGCTTTGAGTGCAGAGTGATTTTAATGTTAAGATTAAAAATACTTCTTTTCATCTAAAAATCTTAAATTTCATTTGTGTAATCATTAGTACTCCCAAAATAAATTTCAAACTGTTTTTTCAGTAAAACTTTATATTTTATCTGTTATTTTCTCCACCCTAACTCTATACAAGGTTGATGAATTTGACCTACCTCGTAATCACCAAAAAAAATTTAAGAAATATAAATTACCCTTTTTTCTTTCTAGAATGACTTCAAATTGTAACATGAAACTACATTTATTTATCTTAAATAGCTTTAAACTCATAACAGTATAGATATGTTTCTACTTAAATTTTATTGTTTTATTTCTCTTTGAACCATGTCTAACTAATATTCCTGCCACACAAGTTATAAATCACTTGGCGAACGTGTAGCTAATGTTACCCTATTGAATTACATAATGCAAGGGGCTATTCACAAGTTTTTCACTAGTGCATCTCACGAAAAATGTTTTATTATTATTGTTTTATATTTGTCCTAAACTAACCTTACCTAACCTAAAAAATTTCTAATTTTTACATCTTAGTTATTTTTATAATAACAAATAAAGAGTACATGCAAAAAATAAAAAATAAAGTACTTCCCTAGGTCTTTTCTTTTTTTGTCAACTGTCTATGGAACTTAACTACTTTTTTATACTAATGGTACTACTGCAATAAATATTTTATTTATTTAATTTAATTTAATGCACCAAAGAAAACAAAATAATAACATACAAAAAGCAGACAATTTCCCATAACTATCACAATTTTTCTGACTTACTAAATATACAACAAGAGCTGTTAAAAATTCAGCTAAGCTCATCAATGTGTTTCCTGTGGGAATAAAGTTTTAACTGGAAGCAAAATAGACAATTCTCTGTAGAGAAAACAATGTAATATGTTAAATCATTTGATAGATTAAAACCTTGGCTTTCTATTGATTATATATAATACAGTATTAAATTTCGTACATCTCAGAGGGGTGGTAAATAAATTAGACTAGAGAGGATACCTAGAGAGTAAATGTCACAATTCTCATATCAGGGGAATTGAGGATTTTCTTTTAATATTGCCGTTTAAAAATTAAAACTTATGTAATATTAAAATTTAGATGATTAGCTACATTTTTTTTGCCAAGTATATTCAATGTATATTGATGTAACTCACTAAAACCTTATGACATGCACAGAAAAAGATGCCTGTAGCAAGAGCATTCATCAACAAAGAAAATACTTTGGTAGTTATATGCTGTTGAGAATTCTCATCAGTTTTCTTAAGATGGACCATCATTCTCAAAAATCATATTTTTAAGGATGAATTAATGAATTTCAAATTTCCATTGTTGTTTAATAACAACAAAATTAAAAAAAAGGTATTTCTGGAACATTTGTTTTACAATTTTGCACCAAAACAGAATTTCCTATTTCAATACAGTTAACTCTTAAAAATAACTTGTTTATCATTAGTGAAAATTTTGTATATTCATCTTTTATATTTAAAAGAAATTATCAAATTCTATTTAAAGGTTTATTAACCTGGCATAACCTACCTATACATTTAACATTAAATCCTAAATAAAAAGTAATATTAAAAATAATGTTTATTTTCCAAGGGCAATAATTGAAGTCTTAGTGACAAAAATGTAGTTAAATATTTTTCAAATATATACTACAATTAATGCTGTAGTTATAAGGGAAAGAGAACATTGATTCATTATTCAAAACAAGCTGAGGCACCTGTCCTACATCCACGGGCATAAGAATTGAATGCAAGGCTTCAACTAATAAATTAAATTTAAAATATGTATAATCTATTTCATAGATAATTTATTTTAGAACTACTTTATTTCAGTTCTACATTAAAGACACTTATCTTATTTCACTCCTACATTAAATACACCTATCTTATTTCCCTATTTCTATTCTATATTACCAAAACAGTGTTACAACTACTTTGCTTTATTACTTTTACTACTGATCTTTCTCTCAGCCCCAGAGTTTGTTGATATTCTTAGTGCTTCTTAATAGACCACATTAGAAGCTCTTCCTCTTTTCTGGACCAAAATAAAAATTCTTGGTGATCTTACTGTTTAATATCTAACATAGAATTCACCATGTGAAAAGGAAGAGAATTTCAGATGTAGCCCTGCCACTTTAACCCTTTCAACACAGGTCACAGTGAAAGGACATATCTTGTTTGTTGACTCGCATTCAAAATTTTATTGAACTACTATTTCATGAAT